AACACTGAACCCAGTCAGAAATCCCCGTGTAGAAGAAGCCAGCGGACACCAGGAGATCGATGTTGATTCCCACTTTGACTGGCCAACGGGAGAAAGTTTGTTTACGGGCTGCTTCAGTGTTGAACTGTGGATGAGCCAGCTGTCCGTTCTCCGCTTGTGCGTCATCTGTAGCACATGTACCAGGAAATCAGTGGGTTGAGAAAATCTACAGCAATCGGATCGGTAAGAAACCTGACTGCGATGCGAGAACGAAGGATGGCGTCTTCTCTACACACACGGGCATCATGAAATACAGTATAATTCAGGGTTCCTGAGGGAAAGCTTCTGTTGTTTAATACCTGAAACGCAGCTCTTAACCACAATCACCTTCCTGTGTAGTGAGACACCATACTTGAGCTTTAATTAAGATACGAGTTTATTAGTCAGAATATTTAGCTCACTGTACACATAAAGCATTGATGAGTATCACTCACTAATCACTATACATAGTCCTACAAGCTCACAACTGGTTAAGAAAAGAAACTTTGAAGTAATACTCGATAACCCAAACAAAATGTCAAATAATGGAAATAAGCCATATGATTTTACTTTTTTGGTTTATCCTACGTTATATATCTCAAATGTAACTCGACACTAATTTTAAAGATTTTGTAAGGAATATTTATAATACCTAAACAAAAACTCCTTCAACAAGAAATAGGTAAACATTTATTTACCCGCTCAAGCAAAACAGTAATGCGGCAGCATACTGTGCAAGTGGCTGATAATCCAGCTTACATGTATTATAACTGTAACTGCGAATGATAGACACAAAAGTAGTCATTGGAAACTTCCTTCAGTCAACGTTTCTCTTGCACACAGCAGAGATTTTTCAAGTTTCAAGCCAAAGTTCAAGATCTCTTCCGAGGCCTTGAAACACCTATTCCCCATGAAAGGAGACTGTAACACACAAGTTACCGAGGATGGTAGTGGCTGAGCAAGTTGGGTATTGGAAGTTAGTAATGGCGGGTGAGGCATCAAGGCAAACCAGATTCAGCAGAACGAGTTGAAGCTGTATGCCCGACAAAGCAGGGTAACCTAGTGAAGAAATCACATTCACCAACGTAGGCAAAGTTTACGTGTGATCATGAAATGAAATTCTGGAAAAAAAATTCCCCACTTTGAACAGGAGTGTCTCTGTTAAAATGTTTACTAATGAAAGCAAGCAGGAGGGCATCGTCTCCTCTCAGGATGTTCATATACATTCACAACGCAAGTTCTTCTAGTGCATTGTAAACAGGATTCAATATATTTATATTCAAGAGGAAGCGATGGAAATATGAAATCCATAAATGTCTGTTCGTATATATTTAGATGAGGCATCTACACCACACGTAGACGGAATCACAGTTACAGCATTATTCTGCATATTTCGACATCCAGCTCAGGTTTTCTTCAGTAGCTAAACAGGCGCTTAATTGGAAATCGAAGAAATAGAGACCAATGTATTCTCCGTACTTGTGTTTTCGTGCGGGTTCTTATATTTCTTCATAATTTCAGAATTACAAAAAATCACCAGAAATTAGAGTAAAGCAAAGTAGATTTTAATTCACGTTCGTAAAGAACTCGCCTGCTTGCTGCCCAGAAATCATTGAGGGTGAGATCAAGAAAATTGATGCGATACTGACTCTCCAGCCTCCAGTCTCCAGGAGGACTGTTTGACCTTCCTTGTTTGGCACATCTTAAAGGAACTTGTCCAGTTTTTTCTGAAGATTTCTACATTTGCTCTTGCAATAATACTTACATTTGTTGGCACAGTATTACCTAACTGTACTTATAACAACTGCGTTTATCATTATTTTTATTCTAAATAACTCGAACAAGTTATTATACAGTGTATACAGGAGGGAGCTTAACTTCAAGTGATTCTTGTGTAGAGATTATCAGATATTTCTCTTGTCTCCGTTCCACATAGAAGATTTGTAGTTAAAACCACGAGACATACAGTACTGCTTTCCAAGTGCTTTCATGTTCCTCAGTAGTTTAATGTGATGTGCTCCAGTCGTTTAATGCGACGTGCTCCAGTAGTTTAATATGATGTGCCCAGGTAGTTTAATGTGGTGTTCCCCGGTAGTTTAATGTGATGTGCTCCTGTAGTTTAATGGGATATGCCTCAGTAGGTTAAAGTGGCGTGCCTCAGCAATTAATGTGACGTGCCTCGGTAGTTTAATGAGATGTGTCCCAGTAGTTTAATGTGATGCGCAACTGTAGTTTAATGTAATAATAATAACAATCTCACTAAATCAGTAAATCAGGATATGCAAGGATTTTTTTAAGTAAATTTACGGCTTGGAATAATAATCTCATTGTAAACCATACCACGGGCGGGATTGAACCCGCGGTCAGAGAGTAGCTGGAGTTTGTGTTAACAGTGACTGGTGCTTGTGTTAACAGTGACTGGTGCTTGTGTTAACAGTGACTGGTGCTTGTGTTAACAGTGACTGGTGCTTGTGTTAACAGTGACTGGTGCTTGTGTTAACAGTGACTGGAGCTTGTATTAACAGTGACTGGAGCTTGTATTAACAGTGACTGGAGCTTTTTGTTAACAGTGATTTGAGCTTATGTTAACAGTGATTTGAGCTTATGTTAACAGTGATTTGAGCTTTTGTTAACAGTAACTGGCGCTAGTTTTAACAGTGACTGGATTTGTTTACATCACCTGAAGGTTTTTGTTAACAGTAACTGGAACTTTTGTTAACAGTAACTGGAACTTTTGTAAACAGTAACTGGAATTTTTGTTAACAGTAACTGGAACTTTTGTTAACAGTAACTGGAACTTTTGCTAACAGTAACTGGAACTTTTGTTAACAGTAACTGGAACTTTTGTTAACAGTAACTGGAACTTTTGTAAACAGTAACTGGAACTTTTGTTAACAGTAACTGAAACTTTTGTTAACAGTAACTGGAACTTTTGTTAACAGTAACTGGAACTTTTGTTAACAGTAACTGGAACTTGTGTAAACACTAACTTGAGTTTTTTAATGTTAAGTGGAGCTTTTTAACAGTAATTAGAGCTTTAGTTAACAGTAACTAGAGTTTTAGTTAAGAGTGTCTTCATATCAAAAGTGATAAAGTTATTTTTTGGCAGGGTTTATGATGTCAAAATATTCAAATAAAATTTTGATTCTTACCTATATGTTATTTGCATTTGCAAGTGTAAGGCAGATAATTATCTACCAAGTCACTGTCAGCCGTTATAATGGCTGACAGTGACTTGGAGAAGTCCTTGTTCTTGCTTCTAAAAGACGATGCTTATTTCTTTCCTGGTGGAAACCTGGTCTGTGATACCAGGAGGTTGTGGTTCACGACCTGCGAAGACACGGTCTTAGAACTCTTTATTGGGAAGACGTGTAGGTAGTGGGACTTTCTTTAGTGGAGCCAGGAAGGTCCCTAGACCGACACGTTTCCGTAATGAAGTGACCCAAACCTTTCTTCATGTGTATTTAAGTCGAGCATTTTCTTTCCAGCGCTGCAGATGCTACTTACGTGTGCTTCAGGAGATGAATGTTTGCCTCTTAAGTTCATTAATTTTCTTGAATGCGAGTATGCTTAATATATTTGATTACAATGAACAATGGATCTGCCAGTTCTTAACAGCGCTGTTCTACTTTCTTCAGACTTGTTCGTGATCGTAAGCAGTGCTCTGTAACCCACAAAAGTTTAGAGCTTCAAGAAGCTACCTAACAAACTAAATCAAACTTGAGCTTTTTATGTAACTATGAAAATTAACATAGCAAGTAGGTTAGTTGTTGCAGCAACCTAGTCTAGTAAGCAACCTGGCTTAGCCTGCCCCCCCCCCCCCCCAAAAAAAAAATCACACAATCGTTTCGAATTTTTTGTGTCAGTGGCCAGACTTATAACCGACCTTGTCTTTGTTTAATGTTAGTTACTCCAAGTCATGACTAGTGACAGGAAGACTATGTGAGTGAAAAGCTATGAAGGTTCACCTTTAATATTGTGTCAATAATCTGAACAAATCTGTTTCGTGTGTAGGTATATTCGTGAGAGCTTACAAATACTTTATTTCATAGCTCTCACCTTGGTACTTATTGGCAGAAGTCTTGGCATTAGGCCTAGTACTGGTCACCCTGAAGGCGAGGTACTCGTCCAGCAAACGGTACACCCTCCCGGTATCGTCAGCAGGGTAAGATATCGGGACGTTACCTGTAGCTACACCCGTGACGAAGGGACAATTGGGGAAATGCTTCCGATGTTCCAAGTCCGGATGATCACCGGGGTCCCAGTAACCCACGATACCCTGACAGAAGACGCACTGCACGTGGTCTTGGGTCTGCAGGTAAAAGAAACCAGCCCTAGCCAATTGTTCAGGGTCTATGAAAGCCACGGTCCAATTAGCGAAGGTTTGTCTCCTCACCGACTCCATCAGCAGCGCCATCATGCTGTGGAAGCGACGCTCACGCCGCAGCTCAGCTGTAACACAACAGCAATAACAAATGCAGTGAGAGTAACCGTGATAACATTAATGAAAACTTTATATTAACAATAATAATAATAATAATAATAATAATAATAATAATAATAATAATAATAATAATAATAACCAGAATTATAATAAAAAGATTGTAACAACAGCGAGAACAGCAACGACCTGCCGACAGTAAGAAAGAAGAGAAAGTAATCACTGACTTGAAAAACTTCTACACAAAGTGAACATAGTCATAATTAAAGCTTGCTCTGCATTTGCCATTTCTCTTCATGATAAATATTGTCTGGTTGTGACCTCAGTCTGTGTTTCTCTGGCTTTGCGCATATTTTTTAGTGTGTCTAATGCTATGAGTAAATATAAAAGTGTATCTGCGCCTATGAGTGAACTACATGGTTGTTCCTGGTGGCATAAGAACAGAAAGATCTGGGTAACTTACGTAGTCGCTTCTGTGAGGACCAGTGTGGGACAGCCATGACTGCAGGACACTGAAGGATGCACACCTCTCGTCAAGAACCTGAGAGGAAGATGCAACTGTTAATGTTTGCATTAGCTTATCTATATGTACATACATACACACACACACACACACACACACACACACACACACACACACACACACACACACACACACACACACACGGCTATGACGAGCGGGGTCCCAGAGGGGTCAGTCCTGGGACCAGTGCTATTCTTGGTATATGTGAATAACATGACGGAAGTGTCCCTGTTTTCAAATGATGTGATATTAATGAGGAGAATTAAATCAGATGCGGATCAGGCATGACTACAAAGAGACCTGGACAGGCTGGACGCGTGGTCCAGCAACTGGCTCCTAGAATTTATATCCTCAGGAAGGTCAAAGAAGACCGCAGACAGAGGTGGCCAAAGACTGCAAACCTCACTCAAGGAGAGAGATCTAGGGGTGAGTATAATACCGAGCACGTCTCCGGAAGCACACATTAACCAAATAACTGCTGCGACATGTGGGCGCCTGGCAAACCTGACAATAGCGTTCCGATACCTCAGTAAGGAATCGTTCAAGACTCTGTATACTGTGTACGTCAGGCCCATACTGGAGTACGCAGCACCAGTTTGGAACCCACACCTGGTCAAGCACGTCAAGAAATTAGAGAAAGTGCAAAAGTTTGCAACAAGGTCGGTTCCAGAGCTAAGGGGAATGTCCTACGAAGAAAGATTAAGGGAAATCGACCTGACGACACTGGAGGATATGAGGGTCTGGGGAGACATGATAATGACATACAAAATACTGCGAGGAATTGACAGGGTGGACAGCGATAGGATGTTCCAGAGATGGGACACAGAACCAAGGAGTCACAATTGGAAGTTGAAGACTCAGCTGAGTCAAAGGAATGTTAGGAAGTATTTCTTCATCCACAGAGTTGTTAGGAAGTGGAATAGTCTGGCAAGTGATGTAGCGGAGGAAGGAACCATACATAGTTTTAAGACGAGGTATGATAAAGCTCATGGAGCAGGGAGAAAGAGGACCCACTGGCGGTCAGTGAAAAGGCGGGGCAAGGAGCTGAGTCTCGACCCCTGCAACCACAAATAGGTGAGTACACACACACACACACACACATGTAGTATATATATATATATATATATATATATATATATATATATATATATATATATATATATATATATAATATATATATATATATTCAATAAGTTGACCGTCTCCCACCGAGGCAGGGTGACGCAAAAAGAAAGAAATCCCAAAAAAGAAAATATTTTCTTCATCATTCAACACTTTCACCTCACTTACACATAATCACTGTCTTTGCAAAGGCTCCCAGATAAAACAGTTTAGAAGCATATGTAAAGATACACAACATATCCCTCCAAACTGCCAATATCCCAAACCCCTTCTTTAAAGTGCAGGCATTGTACTTCCCATTTCCAATAAAAGTCCGGCTATATAAAAATAAACGGTTTCCCTGAATCCCTTCACTAAATATTACCCTGCTCACACTCCAACAGCTCGTCAGGTCCCAAAAACCATGCGTCTCCATTCACTCCTATCTAACACGCTCACGCATGCTTGCTGGAAGTGCAAACCCCTCGCCCACAAAATCTCCTTTACCCCCTCCCTCCAACATTTTCGAGAACGACCTCTGCCCCGCTTTCCTTCCCCTACAGATTTAAACGTTCTCCAAGTCATTCTACTTTGATACATTCTCTCTAAATGACCAAACCACCTCAATAACCCCTCTTCACCACTCTGACTAACTTTTATTAACTCCACACCTTTCCCTAATTTCCACACTCCGAATTCTCTGCATAATATTTACACCACACATTGCCCTTAGACAGGACATCTCCACCGCCTCCAACCGCCTCCTCGCTGCAGCATTTACAACCCAAGCTTCACGCCCATATAAGAGTGTTGGTACCACTATACGTTCATACATTCCCTTCTTTGCCTCCATAGATAATGTTTTTTTTTGTCTCCACATATACCTCAATGCACCACTCACCTTTTTTCCTTCATGAATTCTATGGTTAACCTCATCCTTTATACATTCATCCGCTGACACGTCAACTCCCAAATATCTGAAAATATTCACTTCTTCCATACTCCCTCTCTCCAATGTGATATCCAGTTTTTCTTCATCTAAATCGTTTGATACCCTCATCACCTTACTTTTATCTATGTTCACTTTCAACTTTCTACCTTTACACACACTCCCAAACTCGTCCACTAACCTTTGCAACTTTTCTTTAGAATCTCCCATCAGCAAAAAGCAACTGTGTCAACCCCTATTTTGTACTTGATTCCCCATAATTTAATCCCACCCCTCTCCCGAACACCCTAGCATTTACCTCCTTCACAACCCCATCTATAAATATATTAAACAACCATGGTGACATTACACATCCCTGTCTAAGACCTACTTTTACCGGGAAGTAATCTCACTCTCTTCTACACACCATAACCTGAGCCTCACTATCCTCATAAGAGCTCTTTACAGCATTTAGTAACTTACTACCTTTTCCATATACTTGCAACATCTGCCACATTGCTCCCCTATCCACTCTGTCATATGCCTTTTCTAAATCCATAAATGCAATGGAAATTTCCCTATCTTTATCTAAATACTATAATTTTTACAATCTCTTTTGTCCCCCTTCCCTTTATATAAAGGTACTATACATGTTCTCTGCCAATCCCTAGGTACCTTACCCTCTTTCATACATTTATTAAACTAAAATACCAACCACTCCAACACTATATCCCCCCCTGCTTTTAACATTTCTGCCATGATCCCGTCCAGCTGCTTTACCCCCTTTCATTCTACGTAATGCCTCAAGCACCTCCCCCACACTCACATCCTGCTCTTCTTCACTCCTAGAAGATGTTATACCTCCCTGGCCAGTGCATGAAATTACCGCCTCCCTTTCTTCATCGACATTTAAAAGTTCCTCAAAATATTCCCACCATCTACCCAATGCCTCCAGCTCTCCATCTGTTAACCCCCTACTCTGTTTTTAACTGACAAATCCATTCATTCCCTAGGTTTTCGTAACTTGTTTATCTCACTCCAATTTTTTTCTTATTTTCTGCAAAATTCCTTCACACACACACACACACACACACACACACACACACACACACACGCACACACACGCACACACACACACACACACACACACACGCACACACACAACACACACACACACACACACACACACACACACACACACACACACACACACATATATATATATATATATATATATATATATATATATATATATATATATACATATATAGAATTGTCTTCCTTGGGAGAGGCGAATCATTAAGATATCAATATTGTCTGTATTCTCATATAAAATTGCGCTGGGGTTACTTTTAAATGTTTGAAATGTACGTGTACAAGGGAAGGCTGAAGGTGCCTCATATTTCCTGGGTAGAGTCTCCGGCTTATAACTGAAGAGCAAGTATTTACCGAGCAATAAAGAGGTAACTTGGTGTTGGTCGACTGTAGTAGGTGACTTATTTTTGAAAGAATTTTTCCTGGAAATGAACTGAGTTATGATAAAAGCTCTTAGCCTGTAAATTCAGCAATGTAAATTACAAAAAAAAAAAAAAAAAGTGGGGAAGGCAGCTGCTTCCGCTAATAACAAAAGTCTTCAACATAAAGCGTAGTCAAGCGATAAAATACCACGAGGCAGTGTGTAATAATACCTCTCTATCTCAGGTGATGCTGAGTACTTTATCTTCTATTATATATTGTTCATGCTGCGTACCTGTGGTTGTCACAATCTCGGAACACCTCATGTTATATATATATAATATATATAATATATATATATATATATATATATATATATATATATAATATATATATATATATATATATATATATATATATATATATATATATATACATATATATATGTATATATACATATATATATATATATATATATATATATATATATAATATATATATATATATATATATATATATATATATATATATATATATATTTATTTAACTCTTTTTCGTGCGATGCTTCTGATTTTTTTGCCCCCTCCTGTAAACAAAGAAGCGAAATGAAAAAAAAAATTATTGGGAAACTAAACAGATGGAGATGAGGGTCGAGTGGCTAAGAGTGGACCTGTGAGAGAACTAGAACCTGTCCTCGTTTTCTACGTTATGAAAGTCTTGTCTTGTATCCAAAATAAAGCTCAACTAACTAAAACTAAGCTCACCTAACAAAATATAGCTGAAATTTAATTGATACAGAGGTATACAACGTTCAGAAATTAATGCATTTTGATATGTAAGAGAAACTTGTCTCCTAACTTTCTGTTGCCCTGACTTACTGTGATCCCTGACTAACTGTAATCCCTGGCTTACTGTGATCTCTGACTAACTGTAATCCCTGGCTTACTGTGATCCCTGGCTTACTGTGATCCCTGGCTTACCGTGATCCCTTACTTACGTGATCCCTGGCTTAATACGTCGTTCTTGCTGAATGAGTCAGTGTGGCCCTTGGATCATGTATCTCTGATAGTTTTAGGATTTATATTCCTTATTATTTCCCTGAGGGCTATTTCAACAACTCTTGTATGATTCTCGAGCGAGCGTATACCAAACATCGCTAGGACACATCGTCTAATATTATAATTTTAATGCAAGATTTTAACAAGACTCTCTAGATTTATATAGCACATGACACATTTCAGATGTTTTGGTGTGGGTGGTAGTGGAGTGTGGTTTGCCACTCAGGTGTTGAACTGGGGTAAGGATCATGGACACCCAGGAAAGGATCCAGGGACATTCTTGATATATCTCTCACACTGATCTACCGCTTGTGGGATGCTGTAAAAACGGTGATAGATCACAGTTCGTGAGCACTGAAGATCTCACAGCTGCGGTACGTAGCGGCATTGCAAAGTAGTCTTTTTGGGCTTGAAGGTAGAGCAACTAATGCTTCCGAACAACTAATGCAACAAAATCTGTTTGTAGATGAATGGTT